GTTCTGAATTTCTTATTCCCCTCTAATAATGAAGTTCTATCTTACTTCTTTCATCCATTATCATTTCTTTTTTGTAACCCTTATCTACAAACCTTTGGACAAGTATTTGACTTTGTGTTCTGTAATCTTCAATATTAGTGCAGTTGCGTCGTAACCTATAAAATTGGCCCCTTGGTACATTTTTGATCCATGGTCTGTAATGGCAGCTATTAACTGGGATATATGAATTGCGATCAGTTTTTTTTTAAATAGTTTTTTGTTATAATACCCTTATCTGTATTCATTAGAGTAAGATCTAAGTAATGTATTATTTCTTTATTGATGTTCCAACTCAATACTATATTTTTAACATTCGTGTTCAGATTCTGATAATAATTGGTCAGTGATAATATATCACCTTTCCACAATAATAGGATGTCATCGATAAATCTGCCATATAGTACTATATTGCTATCAACATTAGAAAAGACTGCTTCTTCCTCCCACTTAGCCATATACAGATTGGCAATACTGGGTGCAAAACGGGCGCCCATGGCAACTCCCCTTATCTGCAGGTAGTATTCGCCCTTGTACCAAAAAAAGTTATGACTGAGGCAAAATCTGATACATTTGACCAAAAATTTAATTTGTTTCTTAGAAAGAGTAGAATATTTATTCAGGGCCCATGTTGCTGCCTCCATTGCTCCTGCATGGTCAATTATAGTATAAAGTGAAGAGACGTCTGCTGTGCTTAAAATAAAGTTATTATTCTTTTCCACTGTCTGCAAAATATTAATCACATGTGTGGTATCTTTTATATACGCCCTTGTTTTCTCTACCAGGGGTTGAAGAAATTGATCAATATACTGTCCAATTCTAGATAATAACCCATCTATACCATTAATTATAGGTCTCATGGGAGGATCTTCTAAACTTTTATGTATTTTTGGTATAGAATACAAAACTGGTATCTTGCTAACTGAGGGTACTAAGTAATTTGCTTCCTTGTCATCCAAAATCTTTCTTTGTTTACCATACAATATTAATTTACTTAATTCTGTTTTATAAAATTTAGTGGGATTGTTAATCAATTTGCAATATGTATCAGTATCTCCCAACATATTGCTCATGGATTTCTCATAAGAATCTTTCGATAGTAACACTATTCCCCCCCCTTTGTCCGCTGGACGCACTACTATATTGTTTTTATCTTGCAAAGATTTAATTCCTTTCTTTATATCGGCTTCACCTTTGAACGTTTTTATTTTAAGTTCCTCTATATCTCCCATCACCATTTTCTTAAAATTATTTATGTGTAAATTATCTTGATTTTTAGGGTTGAATACTGATTTATTTTTCAAAGTACTATGTTGTATGTTCCCTATGTCCTGATGATTAGTATCAATAGGATTCTGTAAAAAATATTTTTTTAAATTTAATTTTCTTATGAATTTTTGTACGCTAATATACGTTTCAAATTTATTCAATTTGTTGGTAGGCGCGAACTTAAGGCCTCTATCCAATGTTTTAATCTCTTCACTATTTAATGGGATACCACTTAAATTGTATATACCTTCCCCTAAGGATCTCTTCTCCTTTTCTTGTTTCCTTTTTCTTCCTCCTCTTTTTCCTCTCTTTCTGATCTTTCTATATTTTTTGTGTGGGATTGTAGTCCCATCCTAAAAAAGGATTAGGGGTTGAATTATCCTGTTGTTGATGTTCTAATGGTGAATAACTGTTGTGGACTGGAACATTATACATTTGATTATACGGTGGGGGATATCCCTGTGGTTTGTGATTGGGGGATTTATGATAGTTGGGTCTGTAACCTTGAGTATATCTGGGTGGGTGTCCATATGGTCTCCTATATCCACCTCCCCTGTAGCCAGGGTTGTAATAAGGTCTATAACCCGGATGGGGGAATCTCTGGGGTTCCCTCATCTGAGGTGGATATTGATCATATTGCCTCCAATTGTCGGCATATTGAGATGGTCCCATCTCTTTCCTTGATGTAGGGTTTTTTTTGTGATTATGAATGGGGGCATTATTTTTAGGGGTGACAAAACCTATGGTTTTTTTGGCTGGTGATCCTGTTCCTGCCATAATTTTGGTGGGTGTGCTTTCTACTGATGATGTACCTGTATTATCTTTACTCTGCCATTTAAACACTTGTTTTGAGTTATAATCTTGTACCACTCTTTGATATTTCCTTTTCTCCGGCTCCGGAGCACACTGCCCACCAGGTGACAGGCAATAGGGTCGGCAAGCCGCGGCTCTTTTAATGCAGCTCTTCTATGTGCCGGGCGCCTGCTCCCCTCCCTCCTCCAAACATTGGCTGTCAGGATGTAGGCGGGGCAGCGTGACGAACTCCTCTCCTCTCACAGTCCGCCCTGAAGACCAGAACGGCGCGGGAACACAGCTAGAGGAACGCGCGGAGTGAATTACTATATGGGGGATGAATTACTATATGGGGGATGAATTACTATATGGGGGATGAATTACTATGGGGGATGAATTACTATGGGGGAAGAATTACTATATGGGGGATGAATTACTATATGGGGGATGAATTACTATATGGGGGATGAATTACTATATGGGGATGAATTACTATGGGGGATGAATTACTATATGGGGGATGAATTACTATATGGGGGATGAATTACTATGGGGGATGTATTTTCAGTTTTAAAAATGTGGCTCTCAAAATAAATTTCAATCGTGGTTTTGGCGAGATTTGGCTCAGTTGAAAAAAAAGGTTGCCCACCACTGACCTAAGGCTATGATTGTGATTATGACGATACACTGTGGCCCTGATTAACCCTTTGCTTACTGGGCCCTTAAACCCCCTTCATGACCAGAGCGCTTTTTGCAATATATGCAGTGTCGGATTTGTTTTAAATGTTGCAATGGTTTTGCGGCCCCAGTCTTTTTTTCCCTTCGGAAAACGGGTCCAAGTGGCTCTTTATGTCTTAAAGGTTGCAGACCCCTGGTCTAGTAGTACCTATCTCTGCCTCCTATTTCCACTACAATGAATGCCCCTTTGGCTTAAAATAAAGTATCTTTTGGATATTGCTTTTGAGTTTTGTGTGCACAGATTTTTACCCCCCCCCCCCCTCCCAATGGTTAATGTAGCAGACACTTCATCCCACTCCATTAAACATATAATAGCTTTACGTACGTCACTGCATGAGTCTGCAAATTAGTCCTGCACACCTCCTTCTCTTTCCCAGATATTAAAGGCATAGCAGCATGATTTCTGAACCTTGGCTTGTCCATCATCCCCAACTGACTTTGGAGGGAGGGGGGCAACAACAGAAACATAATGGTCCAGCTATCTGTTATCACATTTATCTGTGTCATTGGTACGGCTTCTGCTACAGTAGCAGGTGAGTAATGAACTTGGGAGTATCTCACACATAAGATCGCATCTATTACCTGTTTGTTCTACTATTATAAGGGTTCATGTACACTGCAGCTCATAAACTCACATTTAGGAGCTTCTCTGCGTTTTTTTCAGCAGCCCCTGAACTCTCCCTAATGTTTTCCTATGTGTCCATGTACACATCGTTGTTTACAGGCAGTTGAGTTTACAGTTGTTTTTTTTGAACGCAGCACCAAACTTGCATTCAGGAGAAGATTTTATCAGCGTTTCAAACGCTTGTAAACGCGGCTAAGCGTTTGCGTTTAGAAGCGTTTTTTTTTAACTGTTCCATATCCAGATGCTGTCCAGAGCCTTTTTTCATCATCAGAAATGCAGGCAAAGCGTTTTCCATGTATTCAAATGGACCCGGTACACCAGCGCAGTCAGTTCCAGGTTTTGCGTGAAGGAAACAATGGTAGAATGTGCCGCATTATGCTCATGATGGGATCCATAGTGAATACAACCAGAAAAGACAGGTCATCTCAACACATACTGCTCTCCCTGCTTCTGCTCTCTCTATTTCTCTCAAAATGTCTGAAATAGTAAATTTTTGTATTTGTTTTCAGTGCATTCTGGGCATTTGGGAAGGTCTCTTGAGGTTATCTTTAAAAACGCTTCTAAATGCAAACACACATAATGCAAACGCAATAACGTATGCAAACGCGGCTAAACTGACGTTTTTTTAACCCACGTTTTCAAGCAGTCAGTTTTCCACCGTTCAGAAGAGTTTTCCAAACGTCCCGTGTACATGATTTCTTACAGTCATTTATTTTTTTTTTTTTCAGACACTTTATAGGCTGACCATTCTCTAATAGCCAGAACCAATCCCAAAACTTTTGAGTCATTATGTGGCTTTTGTCTCAACCATGGCATCAGTTTCTTGTGAATTGGATCAGAGGAATATATGCTCAGACCACCAATCTAATCATAGGGCATATTATTAGTGCAGTGAATGTAACATTTACCAAAATATTCACTGCTGGTGAATCAATCAATGAGCAGCAATATTTCACATACAGTTTTTTAGAAGCCACTGTAGTATTGTCCAAGCCAGGGGCGGACTGACAACTCATGGGGCCCCCGGCAATAGGATCATGGGGCCCCTGTGTCCTTGCCCAAACTAAAAAAAATCATATGAAAAAGGTACCAGGGGCATCTCATGGGGCCCCCCTGCTGACCCTGGGCCCTCGGGCAGTGCCTGAGTTTTCCAAATGGTCAATTCGCCCCTGGTCCAAGCCTTCCCTAAACGTCACCCTGCAGCCAGGCGCAAGGTATTTTAACAGCCGGGAACACACACATTTTCGCTCGTCATCTCCAATGATCAGTTTAGGGGTAACTAATTACAGTTAAGGGCAGAATTTCCTTAAAGTGAACTAATTTTTTTTGTTGTGAAATAACAAGCATGTCTATACCAGGGGCAGACTGACCATTTTGTAAACTCGGGCACTGCCCGAGGGCCCGGGGTCAGTAGGGGACCCCATGAGATGCCCCTGGTACCTTTTTCATAGGCTTTTTTGAGTTTGGGCAAGGACACAGGGGCCTCATGATCCCCTATTGCCCGGTGGGGGGCCCCATGAGTTGTCAGTCCGCCCCTGGTCTATACTTACCTGCTGTGTGCAGTGGTTTTGCACAGAGCAGCCCAGATCCTCCTCTTCTCAGGTCCCCCGCAGGCTCTCCTGTCTCCTCCTCCTGTCTGTCGGGTGCCCCCACAGCAAGCAGCTTGCTATGGGGGCACCCACTGCTCTGTGTATCCATTTACACATGGAGCTGCGGTTTGGCCCCACCCCCTCATTGGCTGACTGGCTGTGATCAACAGCAGCAAGAACCAGTGGCTCCAGCTTGCTGTCTCAGCCAATGAGGAGGCAGAGACCTGGGGATAGCCGAGGCTGTTATTCACATCATTGGATCATGATGAGGCTCAGGTAAGTATTGAGGGGGCTAGGGGCACTGCTGCACACAGAAGGTTTTTTACTTAATTCATAGAATGCATGGAGATAAAAAAACCTTCAGTCTTTACAACTACTTTAAGTAGCAACCTTGAGCAAGGTCCCAATGTCAAAGAGGGGTTAAATGGAGAATGCTCCTCTGGACACCAGCCAGTGTTCCATTTTTCAGACACATGCTGACTATAAAGCACCAGAGGGTAGCAAAGCACCCCGTCCCCAAAATCCCCACATTGCCCCCCCGCCCATCATCCCTTTGATGCGGTGCAGTTGTCCTGTCCCCTTAGCAGAAAAACACCCCCAAATCAGAATGTTTCCACCACCATGTTTGACAGTTGGGATGGTGTTCTTGGGGTCATAGGCAGCATTCCTCCTCCTCCTCCTCCAAAAACGACGAGTTGAGTTGATGCCAAAGAGCTGGAGTTTGGTCTCATCTGACCACAACACATTAAACCAGTCCTCCTCTGCATCAATCAGATATTCAGTAGAAAACTTCAGACGGGCCTGGACATGTGCTTTCTTGAGCAGAGGGACCTTGCAGGCACTGCAGGATTTCAGTCCTTGTCGGCGTAGTGTGTTACCAATTGTTTTCTGGGTGACTGTGGTCCCAGCTGCCTGGAGATCATTGACAAGATCCTCACTTGTAGTTCTGGGATGATTCCTCACTGTTCCCATGACCATTGACACTCCACAATGTGAGATCTTGCATGGTGCACCAGACCTAGGGAGACTGACAGTTGTTTTGTGTTTTTCTTCCATTTGTGAATGATTGCACCAACTGTTGTCACCTTCTCACCAAGCTGCTTGTAGATGGTTTTGTAGCCCAGTCCAGGCTTGTGTAGGTCTACAATCTTTTCCCTGACATCCTTGGACAGCTCTTTGGTCTTTGTCATGGTGGAGAGTTTGGAATCTGATGGTTTGATTGCTCCTGTGGACAGGTGTCTTTTATACAGGTAACAAAATGAGATTAGCAACACTCCCTTTAAGAGACTGCTTCTAATCTCAGCTTGTTACCTGTATGAAAGACACCTGGTAGCCAGAAATCCTGCTGAATGATAGGGGATCAAATACTTATTTCCCTCATGAACATGCAAATCAGTGCATCATTTGTTAGAAGTGCATTTCTTTTGAATTTTGTGTTCTGTCTCTCAGTGTTACAATACACCGAACATTCGATTTTTAGACTGATCATATCTTTATGAGTGGACAACATTTAAAATCCGCAGGGGACCAAACACGCATTTCCTTCACTGTATCTAAACACAAGAACAATATTGTAATATGTTGCATCTTCTCAGTTCTTAGCTGTGGTGGCTGCATTAGTTTTCTTTTTTGAAAGCCTTTTTCATTATTATGATTGGATTATCTTGCTAGTAACACACTTCCTGTCCTAGGGTGACAATGCTAATTACCATACTGTATCTATGGAGGAGCAGCATTGTCACCCTAGGCCAGGGGTCTCCACACTTTCTAAACTGTTCTTCAAGCTTTAGGGGGGCCAGACTATGACCAGTGGGAATAAGCAGTATAGCATCATTGTTTTGATTGGGAGGAATAGTGCTCCCTTGTTGGTATCAGTGGAAGGGATAGTGCCCTATTGATGGTATCAGTAGGAGAGATAGTGCCCCATTGTTGGTGTCAGTGGGGGGAGGGTTACAGTAGTAGGAGAAATAATGCCCTATCACTGGTGTCAGTGGAAGGAATAGTGCTGCATTGTTGGTGACAGTGAAGGAATAGCACCCCATTGTTAGAGTCAATGGGAGGAATGGTACCCCATTGTTGGTGTCAGTGGGAGGAGAAATAGTGCCCCATCATTGGTGTCTGTAGGAGGGGGAATAGTGCCCTGTCACTGGTGTCAGTGGGGAGAATAGTGCTCCATTGTTGGTATCAATGGAAGGAATAGCGCCACATTGTGGGTGTCAGTGGAAGGAATAGTGCTCCATTGTTGGTATCAATGGAAGGAATAGCGCCCCATTGTTGGTATCAATTGAAGGAATAGCGCCCCATTGTTGGTATCAATTGAAGGAATAGTGCCTTATTGTTGGTATCAGTTGAAGGAATAGCGCCCCATTGTTGGTGTCAATGGAAGGAATAGCGCCCCATTGTTTGTGTCAATGGAAGGAATAGCGCCCCATTGTTGGTATCAGTGGAAGGAATAGCGCCCCATTGTTGGTATCAATGGAAGGAATAGCGCCCCATTGTTGGTATCAATGGAAGGAATAGCGCCCCATTGTTGGTATCAGTGGGAGGAATAGTGCCCCATTGTTGGTATCAGTGGAAGGAATAGTGCCCCATTGTTGGTATCAGTGGAAGGAATAGTGCCCCATTGTTGGTGTCAATGGAAGGAATAGTGCTCCATTGTTGGTGTCAGTAACAGGAATAGTGCCCCATTGTTGGTGTCAATGGGACGAATAGTGCTCCATTGTTGGTGTCAGTAACAGGAATAGTGCCCCATTGTTGGTGTCAATGGGAGGAATAGTGCCCCATTGCTGGTGTCAGTAAGAGGAATCGCACCCTACTTTTGGTGTCAATTGGAGAAATAGTGCTCCATTGTTGGTGTCGGTAAGAGGAATAGTGCCCCATTGTTGGTATCAATGAGAGGAAAGGTGCCCCATTGGTGGTGTCATTGGGAGGAATAGCGCCCCATTGTTGGTGTCAATTGGAGGAATAGTGCTCCATTGTTGGTGTTGGTAAGAGAAATAGTGCCCCATTGTTAGTATCAATGGGAGGAATGGTGCCCCACTGTTGGCGTCAGTGAGAATAGCACCCCATTGTTGGTGTCAGTGAGAAGAATAGCACCCCATTGTTGATGTCAATGGGAGGAATAATGCCCCATCAGTTGTGTCCATGGCAGGAAAGGAGCCCCGTAATTGATGTAAGATATTGGAATAGTATCCAGAGGGCTAGAGAAAGGCGAGCAAAGGGCCACATCCAGCCCCCAGGCTGCAGTTTGAAGGCCACTTCCCTAAGCCAATACTAGAGTTAGAATGGTTTCCAGTCACCTCTGAAGACTACAGAACATCTTCCCATTATGTTATGAAGAATATGAATGGAAAATGTTCTGTAGTTCTTGAAGACAGCCAGGAACAATGTTGGTTGAGAACAGTAAGGCAGAAAGAACAGGAAGTTATGGGCTCACTGGGTTTGTGGCGGGATCAACAGACATTTTTGCATTTGATGAACAAGTACAGTATAACAAAACCTGTTCATTGGGATCTTTAACAGACCAAAAGGGAGCAAATAAGAGAAGTTTGTTCTCAGGGATGACATATGAGCCGGGCCTTCCTGTCCTTCCGGGATTGGATCGTACCTGTATTGTCTCCCTCTGGTTTGTAAAGCCCTGAGCAAACTGTTGGCGCTATATAAAGTCTATTTCTATGTTATTATTCGCCTGGGGTTGTATTTTTCCAGTAGCTGGGACTTTTTTCAATTCAAGTAACTGGTTGGACATCTGAGTGCTGAGGACTAAATATTACATACAAACTGTGCATTATAATAATATCATCCACTACTGCAGCCTCTTGTTGCCTGTCTTTAGATCATATTCCTTTTCTACCACTAGATGTCACTAGAAGGACTGTATTCGGAGTCTATTAACTCACTCATACACTATATTTCCCAAAGTATTGGTCGGCCTGCCTTTACACGCACATGAAGTTTAATGGCCCCCCAGTCTTAGTCCGTAGGGTTCAATATTGAGTTGGCCCCGCCCTTTGCAGCTATAAGAGCTTCAACTCTTCTGGGAAGGCCGTCCACAAGGTTTAGGAGGGTGTCTATGGGAAGGTTTGACCATTCTTCCAGAAGTGCATTTGTCAGGTCAGGCACTGATGTCGGGGGAGGAGGCCTGGCTCACAGTCTCTGCTCTAATTCATCCCAAAGGTGTTCTATGGGGTTGAGGTCAGGACTCTGTGCAGGCCAGTCATGTTCCTCCACCCCAAACTGGCTCCTCCATGTCTTTATGGACCTTGCTTTGTACACTGGTGTGCAGTCATGTTGGAACAGGAAGGGGCCATCCCCAAACTATTCCCACAAAGTTGGAAGCATGAAATTGTCCAAAACGTCTTGGTATGCTGACACCTTAAGAGTTCCCTTCACTGGAACTAGGGGGCCAAGCCCAACCCCTGAAAAACAACCCCACACCATAATCCCCCCCTCCACCAAACTTTACACTTGGCACAATGCAGTCAGGCAAGTACTGTTCTGGCAACTGCCAAACCCAGACACATCCATGGGATTGCCAGACAGAGAAGCGTGATTGGTCACTCCAGAGAACACGTCTCCATTGTTCTAGAGTCCAGTGGTGGCGTGCTTTACACCACGGCATCCAACGCTTTGCATTGCACTTGGTGATGTACGGCTTGGATGCAGCTGCTCGGACATGGAAACCCATTCCATGAATCTCTCTACGCACTGTTGTTGTGCTAATCTGAAGGCCACATGAAGTATGGAGGTCTTTAGCCATTGACTCTGCAGATAGTTGACAACTTCTGCGCACAGTGCTCTTCAGCATGCGCTGACCTCCCTCTGTCATTTTCCGTGGCCTACCACTTGGTGGCTGAGTTGCTGTTGTTCCCAGTTGCTTCCACTTTGTTATAATCCCACTAACAGTTGAGCGTGGAATATTTAGTAGCCAGGAAATGTCACAGATGGACTTATTGCACAGGTGACCACCTATCACGGGACCACGCTTGGAGTCACTGAGCTCCTGAGAGCGACCCATTCTTTCACAAATGTTTGTAGAAGCAGTCTGCATGCCTAGGGGCTTGATTGTATACACCTGTGTCCATGAAGGTGATTGGAACACCTGAATCCAATGATTTGGAGGGCTGGCCCAATACTTTTGGCAATATAGTGTATATTTTTTGGCACTGGTAGATCTAAACAAGATTGTACAGTTATATTGTAATGTGTGTGATGAGCTTTAAATAGATAGACTCCTTCAAGGTGTGACATTTACTGTCCTGGGAAGAATGTCCCTTCGCCTTAATGTGTAGAAGTCCTGACTTGTAGAACTTTTCTTCCTATGTTGGTCCATCCATGGGAGGTAGTATAGTCTCCCAGGTTTTTGTATTCCTCGCTACACTGTACTATACACTCACTGGCCACTTTATTAGGTCCACCTTGCTAGTACCGGGTTGGACCCCCTTTTGCCTTAATTCTTCATTGCATAGATCCAACAAGGTGTTGGAAACATTCCTGAGATTTTGATCCATAGTGACATGAGTTACTGTTGCCTTTCTATCATCTAGAACCAGTCTGCCCATTCTCCTCTGACCTCTGACATCAACAAGGCATTTTCCTCCACACAACTGCCACTTACTGGATATATTTTCTCTTTTTCGGACCATTCTCTGTAAACCCTAGAGATGGTTGTGCATGAAAATCCCAGTAGATCAGCAGTTTTTGAAATACTCAGATTTGCCCATCTGGCACCAACAACCATGCCAAGTTCAAAGTCACTTAACTCCCCTTTCTTCCTCATTCTGCTAATTTTGAACTTCAGCAAGTCATCTTCACCACATCTAGGTGCCTAAATGCATTGAATTGCTGCCATGTGATTGGCTGATTGGCAATTTGTGTTACCAAGCAACTGAACAGGTGTACCTAATAAAGTGGTGAGTGAATGTATATACCAGGTTACGTGGGCTTGTGTTGTGTCTTTTGAATGGACAATTTTCTGTCTTGAAGGACACAGAAATTAGAAATGTGTAAAAGATCCTGCTGAGCTTTTCCGACACTCCAGATGCATATGGGATATTACTCCAGATGTTCTTCCCTCTGTTTGATAGTTCCTTGTTTTTGCTTGATTTTTAGATGGTTTACTTGAGACGATTCTTCGAGGTTCGCCGTAGCTAAACCAGGGTTGGACTAACCATTCAGAAACTTGGGCACTGCTCGAGGGCCCGGGGTCAGTAAGAGGCCCCATGAGATGTCCCTGGTACCTCTCATAGGCTTTTTTGGGTGTGGTTTGAGTGTGGGCGAGCACACAGGGGCCCCATGATCCCCTATTGCCCGGGGGCCCCATGAGTTGTCAGTCCGCCCCTGAGCTAAACCCATGTCTGTCCTGTCACCTTCCTAGTATGTTTGTTACTAATTATTTTCTTTCTTCGTGCAGAATATGAACTGGAGTCCCAGCCACTGTTATCATGTGAGATCGCAAGAGAAAAATCCCTTTCTAGTGGAGGAGACTACATCCCGCAGTGCTCACAGGAAGGGTTATTCAGGTAATGGAGCATTGTAGTAACCTACTGGAAAAGAAGAGAGCAGCAATATTTCACATACAGTGTTTAGAAGTATTGTCCAAGCCTTCCCTAAACTTCGCCCTGCAGCCAGGCACAAGGTAGTTTCACAGCCAGGAACACACACACTTTTGCTTGTTGTCTCCAATGATCAGTTTAGGGGTTGTTGTTTTTGTTGTTTTAATTTTGGAGGGATGGGGAATATAGTAGGATTCTTCAGCAATAGAATTATTACAGTTGAGGGCAGAACTTCCTTAAAATGAACTCATTTTTTTTTTTGTGAAATAACAAGCATATCTATACTTGCATGCTGTGTGTAGTGGTTTTGCACAGAGCAGCCCAGATCCTCCTCTTCTCGGGTCCCCGCAGGCTCTCCTGGCTCCTCCTGTCTGTTGGGTGCCCCCACAGCAAGCAGCTTGCTATGGGGGCACCCACTGCTCCATGTATCCATTTACACACACAGCTGTGGCTTGGCCCCACCCCCTCTCTCCTCATTGGCTGACTGGCTGTGATCGACAGCAGCGAGAACCAGAGGTTCCAGCTTGCTGTCTCAGCCAATGAGGAGGCAGAGACCTGGGACAGCCGAGGCTGTCATTCACATCGTTGGATCCTGATGAGGCTGTGGTAAGTATAAAGGGGGCTGGGGGCACTGCTGCACACAGAATGTTTTTACCTTCATGCATAGCATGCATGAAGGTAAAAAACCTTGAGCCTTTACAACTACTTTAAGTAGTAACCTTGAGCAAGATCCCAATGTCAAAGAGGGGTTAAATGGACAGTGCTCCTCTGGACACCAGCCAGTGTCCCATTTTTCAGACACATGCTGACTATAAAGCACCAGAGGGGTAGGAAAGCACCCCTGTCCCCAAGATCCCACAGTGTCTGTACTCACAAGGCCCAAGAACAGAATGGCAGCCTCCTTCCAATCTTGCAAATGCTGTCCACTGATACCAGACAGATCAGCTCCCCTCAGTCAGCTTTCTGAAGAACCAGGGTCACTCTTTTAGTTCAGGCCCTTAGGTAGTCCACCTGAGGCTGCACGATAGAAGGTACCTGGGGAGGCAGTGTGCCTTCCCCCAGGCTGGTACAATCCTCTCCAGGAAAGACCCAGGGCTCAGTACGCCCAAAGAATAAATACCCTCTCCCAGCATCCTTCAGAGCTGCACTCCCTGGGATTGGCTGGAGCGGCATTAATATTCATAGTGTTCTGCAAGAATTCCACCTATACATCCAGAACCTTCCTAGATCACTTGGATACAGAAAAAAACAGGAGCAGAACTAACAGCACTTGAACCGTGAACACACTGAGCAAGCACTGCTAAACAATTGCAGCTCTCTGTTAAACAGAACGCCTAATTAGATTTTCCAGTTCTCCTACAGTTGCAAGAAAAAGTAATACGTGGGTTTTGCAGATCTAAGTCACAACAATAGAAGAACCATTTGGAACATAATACTACACAGTGTTGCCATGGTTTAATTGCACATAACATGTTCCAGTGCAGGGAGAAAAAGTATGTGAACCTTTGGACTTAATAACTGGTTGACCCTCCTTTGGCAGCAATAACCTCAACCAAACGTTTCCTGTAGTTGCAGATCAGACCCCATTTTGGACCACTCCTTCACAAAACTGTTTCAGTGTAGCAATATTCTTGGGATGTCTGGTGTGAATTGATCACTCTTAAGGTCTAGAGGGCCCTCAGGACTCTGACTTAGGGTATTCTGTGCTGTTTTATGATGCTTTGGGTCATTGGTACCTGAGCCCCATTTGGACATCCTTTTTTTTTTGCCCGGGGGCCCCAGAGCCCCAAACCATCAGTCGCCCCGGGTTTCACAGTGGGGATTTTTGAAATGCCTTTTTTTCTCCATTTAGTTGTGTTCTTCCCAAACAACTCAATCTTGGTTTCATCTGTGGGCCACAGTATATTCTGCCCAACATCCAGGTGCTATTTCAAACTTCAAACTGCTGCAATTTTTTTTTGGGATCCCAAAATCCCCTACTCCATTCATGTTTTCCTTATTGTAGATGTGTCAACTTCCCTCCTGTTAGCATTGCCAAAATAGCTTGGGCATTCTGCGCTGTGTTTTCCTACAGGAAAACCAGCCTAAATCAGACAGTCTGTCTTACCGTGGACCTGAACTCAATGCTTTTGAGATAGTAACTTTATGCAAGTCAACCAATTCTTGATCTAGGTCTTCTGAGAGCTCTTTTCTGTGAGGCATGGTTCACTCAGAAGTGCTTCTTGAAACCAGTAAACCCAAACAGGTGTGTGTTTTTTAAGGGCAGGACACTCAGACCATCCAATATCATCAACTCAAGGTTGGCTCACTCCTGGCTCCAATTAGCTCAGGGCTTCACATACTTTTTCCTCCCTGCACTGTGAATGTTTACAGACACTGCAACCTAAGAGATGCTGATGACCACATTTTATTTCATCAAAGGCAAGGGGTTCACATAGGCAACTGTATATCGGGCAGACTGACCATTTGGAAACTCAGGCACTGCCCGAGGGCCTGGGGTCAGTAGGGGGCCCCATGAGATGCCCCTGGTACCTTTTTCATAGGCTTTTTTGATTTTGGGCAAGGACACGGGCCCCATGATCCCCTATTGCCCGGGGGCCCCATGAGTTGTCACCTGATTTTTAAATACTCAGATTTTTTTCAGCTATTGCCGCACTACATCTGTCTACTTCCCTCCTATTTGTCTTTTTCTTGGGCATCCCAAAACTGGCCTTCTGGTGATGCCGAAGACCCACCTTGCTGGCATAAAATACTAGAAATAAGTTTCCTACAAACAGCCAATCAGATTCAGACCTGCTAAGGATGCTGATCCACACTTCTAGGCAGGGGCGGACTGACCATTTGGAAACTCGGGCACTGCCCGAGGGCCCGGGGTCAGTAGGGGGCCCCATGAGATGCCCCTGGTACCTTTTTCATAGGCTTTTTTGAGTTTGGGCAAGGACACAGGGGTCCCATGATCCCCTATTGCCCGGGGGCCCCATGAGTTGTCAGTCCGCTCCTGATATATATATATCTATATATATATATACACACACAGACACTCACTGACCACTTTATTAGGTTGTTTGGTAACACAAATTGCAAATTAGCCAATCACATGGCAGCAACATGCAACTTAATGCATTTAGGCATCTAGACGTGGTGAAGACGACTTGCTGAAGTTCAGTCCGAGCATCAGAATGGGGAAGAAAGGGGATTTAAGCAACTTTGAATGTGGCATTGTTATTGGTGCCAGATGGGCAAATCTGAGTATTTCAAAAACTGCTGATCTACTGGAATTTTCACGCACAACCATCTCTAGGGTTTACAGAGAATGTTCTGAAAAAGAGAAAATATCCAGTGAGCAGCAGTTGTGGATGAAAATGCCTTGTTGATGTCAGAGGAGAATCGGCAAACTGGCTCAAGATGATAGAAAGGCAACAGTAACTCATGTCAATATGGAGCAAAATCTCTGAGGAATGTTTCCAACACCTTGTTGAATCTATGCCATGAAGAATGAAGGCAGTTCTGAAGGCAAAAGGGGGTCCAACTCGGTACTAGCAAGGTGGACCTAATAAAGTGTCTGGTGGTTTTGCCTACTTTTATTAACAAATGTGTTTTATTAACAAATTTTTAAAAACACAACATGTTGCCCATGCAATGATTATTCACCATCTCTCTTATTCATCATCTCTCTGTCACAAAACAATCGTTAAACCTCATGGATTTCCTTGGCTGCTTTGAGTGTTTTCCATCCTTCCTTGGGCAATTGTATCAAAGGCTGTGCATACAGGCACATTGCTTAAGCAGTCATCTCTGAGGAGATCTCCTCTGTCTTCTGTGTGGAGCCGTGAGCTACCAAACCTTTGTGCACGCCTTCACAATCAGTAGGTGCGGGTAATACTACTAAATGTAGACCTAGGGATGGAGACTTCATCCCACCCAAGACTCTACAAAGCCTTTGGATTCCAGAATACAGACCAAGGGTTGCCAGGCTCTGGAAAACTGACAAGCCAGTTTTCTCCCTATGACATATCCACCCAGTATGGATGAGAATCCCAGGTGACATCAGTTTCATCCATGAGTCTGCAATCTAATCTCAAACCTAGTTTGTTGTCCCATGCTAAGCTACTACACTGGTTGGTTGCTGGTATTTAATGTCAGCAAGGATGGTGTTCTATCATCATCCAGCATCATACAGTACTCTTGGAATCCCTGCCAGGTCTTACAGAACTCCTAATGTCAGAATCCCAAGCAGGACTTCCAATAGCCCAATGAGTTCCCAATAATGATGTTGGGCATGTCCACATACCAGATGGGTGTTTAAGCACCAGCCTTTGAAGTGGATGTGTCTTTTCTCCAGCTACCCTTGTGTAAATAGCTATTATACATGCCAGTGAGATTGCCTAATGGTTGCTGACCTGGACTGACCTGACTACTCTTTGGCTTGCTGCCTTCTTTAGCTATGTTCAGACCTAACTATATGCTCTTGCTTGCTGCCTGCTTGGACCTCCACTTGGATCTGACTACTCTCTCACCTGACTACTATCCCATCTGCAGCCCTGTCAATGGCCTGTGCATTGTAGCTTTTCCATTCCAATCGCTCCCCTTGAGGGCCGCAACCTGGTGACAGTTTGCAGCAAAGTAAGCAGGAAACCACTAGGGTCTCTGGACCATCTCCACCCTCAGGAGCTTTAGTAAAAAAACAACTGTCTCTTAGGCCCAGTGGCTTGGTTTACCCCCTGTCACCAGCTAGAGGGTACCATAACACAGCATCACCAGCAGATGTGTTCCAGCATAACCAGAAGATGGATTCCAGCATCACCTAGAGGCAGGGGCGGACTGACAACTCATGGGGACCCCGGGCAATAGGGGATCATCGGGCCCCTGTGTCCTTGCCCAAACTCAAAAAAGCCTATGAAAAAGGTACCAGGGGCATCTCATGGGGCCCCCTACTGACCCCAGGCCCTCGGGCAGTGCCCGAGTTTCCAAATGGTCAGTCCGCCCCTGCCTAGAGGTGTGGATCAGCATCCTTAGCAGGTCTGAATCTGATTGGCTGTTTGTAGGAAACTTATTTCTAGTATTTTATGCCAGCAAGGAGGGTCTTCGGCATCACCAGAAGGCCTGTTTTGGGATGCGCAAAAGAAACAGACAAATAGGAGGGAAATAGACAAATGTAGTGCGGCAATAGCTGGATATAAAACTAAAGTATGCAGCAGGTTGGCTGTGCTTCTCATTGAAGAACTTAAGGCTTAAATATCAGTTTTGGCCGGAGTCTGCTTGTCTTATAACAACTCATATTCATATAATCCAATATTGTTTCAAAATTTTAAACTCGCCTCCCTAAAAAATTTGAACAGATCAGTAATGGCTTCTACATTTAACTGCAGGCCTGACTTTGATGTCCTAACCTCCCATCACCCCTAACAGTGTTACCATGATATGTTGCAGGAACATTCAGTGCGACAGAAGAGGCACCAGCTGCTGGTGTGTGAATTCTGATGGGACGGAGGTAATGGGCAGCAGAAAACAGCTTCTCCTCCTATATGTGAGTAGACATTATGGCTATTATACCTCTTCTATCCCATCACCACCTGTCTGGAAAATATGATATTGCAGCTATTTGTAATGAAGTCGTCAGTTTTGTAACACGTCTATGAAGGCTCTCATTTCTCCAGAACAAGGTGCAGCTTGTAATAGTTAATCATTTTCAGCTGGACTTGTTCTTCTAATGATGAAGAGGTTTCACTGACCATCCAGTTGACTTCCTCTGTCCATAGTAGGTTATAGCCGTACAAATGTTGGCTATGTTCCCAAAATCTATTTGAACTGAAGAAATCATTCGATTAGTGAGTGATGAAATGTCTTCAGCATTACAGAACAGGTCCAGTTGAAATGATGGACTACTACTAGCAGCTTTGGAAGCATTTTTGGTGGGATGCATCTCAAGGGTTAAACTCTTCTAAAGGGATGCAGCTTTTCTCTTCAGAACACTGAAAGTGCACCAGGTGATTATAATGAATCAGATCCTCCCATTCAGTCTGCAATCAGTCTAATGAAACAAATGGCTATTTCTTCTAAACAGAAAAAGGTAGAAATTTCAGCCGGAACGTGACCTGGCTTCTGGGTTACAAATGACAGCCCACTCAGGGTGGGCACAAGGGTGGGACAGCTGCAGGAGAACAGTGAGTTTATTGGTTGCAGGGAGGGAATTCCATTCTGGATGATTTTGATGCCGCTGCTGGCCACTGGCAGAGTCACAAATCCACTGTGGACTGTGTGAGAAACTAAGAGGGTACAACTCTTCTGAGAGGTGAGCAGATGAGGACAGTGAAGATGGGGGGGGGGGGACTGTGTGCAAAGGTGACGGCAGTGGGGGTGCAGAAGGGTTAGAAGGGGGTTGCAGAGATAATCTGAGAAAGAAGGGTGCAGAGGTGACCTTTGGATGGGGGTGCAGAGGTACCCTCTCTGCATAACACACTCTTGGATCCTGAATTCTGTCTGCACTCTTAAACCCTGCACTCCTGATCTCTGTACTCTGTGCATTACATACTCCTGAACCCTGCACACTGTTTATTACACAACCCTGAACACTGCACTCTGTTATTAGCACCCTCCTGAACCCTGAATTCTGTGCGTAATGCTCTCCTGAGCCCTGCATTATGTGCGTAATGCTCTCCCGAACTCTGCATTCTGTGTATTATACACTCCTGAACCATGCAAACTGTGTATTACGTACCCCTGAACCCTGCACACTGTGCCTAATGCCCTCCAGAACCCTGAGTTCTGTGAGTAATGCTCTCCTGAACTCTGCATTCTGTGTATTATGCACCCCTGAATCATGCATAGTGTGTATTATGTACCCCTGAACCCTGCACACTGTGGCTAATGCCCTCCAGAACCATGAAAGAAGGGTGCAGAGGTGACCTTTGGATGGGGGTGCAGAGGTACCCTCTCTGCATAACACACTCTTGAACCCTGAATTCTGTCTGCACTCTTAAACCCTGCACTGCTGATCCCTGTACTCTGTGTATTACACACTACTGAACCCCGCACACTGTGCATTACATACTCTTGAACCCTGCACACTGTTTATTACACACACCCCGAACACTGCACTCTGTGCCTAGCGCCCTCCTGAACCCTGAATTCTGTGCGTAATGCTCTCCTGAGCCCTGCATTATGTGCGTAATGCTCTCCTGAACTCTGCATTCTGTGTATTATGCACTCCTGAACCATGCATACTGTGTATTACATACCCCTGAACGCTGCACACTGTGCCTAATGCCCTCCAGAACCCTGAGTTCTGTGAGTAATGCTCTCCTGAACCCTGCATTCTGCGTATTATGCACCCCTGAATCATGCATACTGTGTATTACGTACCCCTGAACCCTGCACACTGTGCCTAAAACCCTCCGGAACCCTCAGTTCTGTGAGTAATGCACACTGTGCCTAACACCCTCCGGAACCCTGAGTTATGTGAGTAATGCTCTCCTGAACCCTACATTCTGTGTATTATGCACTCCTGAACCATGCATACTGTGTATTACGTACCCCTGAACCCTGCACACTGTGCCTAAAACCCTCCGGAACCCTGAGTTCTGTGAGTAATGCTCTTCTGAACTCCGCATTCTATGTATTATGCACTCCTGCACCCTGCATTCTATGTATCATGCACTCCTGCACCCTGCATTTTGTGTATTATACACTCCTGCACCCTGCATTCTATGTATTATGCACTCCTGCACCCTGCATTCTGTGTATTATGCACTCCTGCACTCAGCATTCTGTGTATTATACACTCCTGCACCCTACATTCTATGTATTATGCACTCCTGCACCCTGCATTCTATGTATTATACACTCCTGCACCCTGCATTCTATGTATTATACACTCCTGCACCCTGCATTCTATGTATTATACACTCCTGCACCCTGCATTCTGTGTATTATGCACTCCTGCACCCCTGCATTCTATGTATTATACACTCCTGCACCCTGCATTCTGTGTATTATGCACTCCTGCACTCAGCATTCTGTGTATTATGCACTCCTGCACCCTGCATTCTATGTATTATACACTCCTGCACCCTGCATTCTGTGTATTATGCACTCCTGCACCCTGCATTCTGTGTATTATACACTCCTGCACCCTGCATTCTGTGTATTATACACTCCTGCACCCTGCATTCTGTGTATTATACACTCCTGAACACTTCACTTTTTGTGTTATGTACTCATGAACCCTACACTCTGTGTATTAGACACTACTGAACCTTGCACCCTGTGTATAGTGCACTCCTGCACTTGTTCTTGTGTATTATGCACTCCTGGTTTTATTTAACAATGCCCATATGAGACTCCCCCACTGTGCAGTATGGCCACACCCTCCCTATGATACCGCATGCACAAAGCACCACGTGCTACTTTCCTCCGCAGGGTGGGGTTCGGGATGGTGAGTTCCTGCACCTATTGTCTGAGAAATAAAGCCCTGGGAATATGCGACAAAGTTTTCTAAAGTCCCTGTAATGTACATGGATTACCCAGAGGGATTTTTTTTTTTGTTCAGCAAAACTTATTTGGTTTCATATGCCATGAAATCGTGTTATATCTGTGTGATAAGTGCAAAAAAATCCAGCCAGAAGTCTTGTGAGCTGATAACTCTACCTCTGCCAATTATTATCAGTTAGAATTGTTCCCATCCCCCTTCCCCCAATACACTATATTATGGAGGAATATGGGGAGGTGTTCTGTAGTCCTTCCATAGAGTGGCAATGCTACTCCCCAGTAGATAAAGTTCAGTAAGTAAGTGTCATCAGCCTAGGACAGGAAGTGTGGTACTGGCAGGATCACCAGAGGAAAATGAAGGAAAAAAAGCCTGATAAAGAAAACTCATGCAGCCCTCATATCCAATGACTGGTTGGCTGCAATATATTACATCTTTTTGCTTAGAAACTATGTAGTGCCACCCGTATAACTGTCAATGACAGTACCTGTTTGTAAAATCTTTATTGAACCCCAAAAGACACACAAGTTGTCCCCACCCAGGGACCGCACTTCCTTGACGTATTTAACCCCTAATGTACTTATTCATTTGTTCTCATGCTTAGATATACTTTAAAACATTCAAACCCATGTGATTTTCCTCTCCATTTCCACAGCTTAGCCACATGTGTATATAGAGAGCAAAGCTTGGCTCCCAGCATGCAATGAATTCCCCACAACATTTACAGTATATTTGTTTTGGATGAATATACACAATGTGATTCTAAATTGATTTATTAAACATGAATTAACCATGACCACATTTTCTGACCACAAAGAAAAAGGTCTCTTGTTATTTGGATATTGCGTGTTTGTACTACTTTAATCTTTTACTGCCACTTTACACCACTGCATAATATATTGATGCTTTAATAGTGCACTGCTATTATTAATAATAATAATAATAATTGTATATTGTAAGGCTTCCTTGGTATGCTTTTTTACCCCAGTGGAACCCTTCAAATAATTTCCAAGTCTGAGAGAACACCTCCGAAAACAAATGTTTTGGGGCTCAATGGGAAGAATGCCCTCTAACATAGGTGGTGAGTGGGTAGAATGCCCCCATTACATTGTGGATCAATGGGTAGAATGTCACATATATTAGGGGTCAGTGAGAGGAATGCCCCCTTACATTGGTGATGAGTTGGTAGAATGCCCCCTGTTATATTGGGAGTTAGTGGGAAGACTGTCACTTACATTGGTAATGAGTTACATAGTTAGTCTGGCTGAAAAAAGGCAAAAGTCCATCCAGTTCAACCATTAAAAAAAAAAAAAAAAAAAAAGTTATAATCCTACACCCACAGTTGATCCAGAAGAAGGCAAAAAACCAGCAAAGCATGATTCAATTTGCTTCTGCAGGGGAAAAATTCCTTCCTGATCCCCCAAGAGGCAATCGGATATTCCCTGGATCACCTTTACCTATAAATGTTATATCCAGTTATATTCTGTGTATCTGAGAAACAATCCAGGACTTT